TCAAGTTCCCTTCAAACTCAACATACACGGCAGCACAGGAAAAAATTTCACAGCCATTATCATCTCAGCACATACACGCACGGGAAAACAATGAAAAGAGAGCTTAAAGTTCCTCACCTCAAATCACAACAGCAGAAAGGAAGGAGAGGAAGCTTGCGGCACTTAACAGGGGAGGAAACTCAGAATCGAACCTCCGAAAATAAGAGCAGAGCTCTTCTGTGCTGCACCACCCACGAACGGACGAAATGAGGGAGGAGGAAGGAGGATCGACAGCCCTGACAACGAAGAACGGAAACTCAAAATTCAAAAGATAACAGAAAATCACATAAAATTATAATTTTGTGAAAATATGTATGCATGCTTCTATTAAATATTAAAATTAATTATAAATTTAAAATTATATTTTTTAAAAAATATTCAAACACTTACTCTGTCCGTTTAAAAATATAAAATATTTTTTAAAAAGTTAAATATTTAAAAATATAAAATATTTTAAAATATTTTAAAATGTAATTATTATCTTTTTTTAAAAGTATTCCTATTAATGAATGACTTTATATTTATTTTAAAATGTTTAATAGAAGTAAATATGTAAAGATAGAGTTAGTTTAAAAGTATGTAACTATTTTATTGAAAAGTAAGATTCAGTTAAAAATACTTTTCATTTTTTAACAAAGGAATTATTATACACATCAAAATTAATTATAAATCCAAAACCATAATTTTTTCAAGAATATATAAGCACCCTTAGGGCCAATTTGGATATCTATCAGAAAAAATTAATTATAAAAAAATTGATTAATATGTTTGATTTTAAATAAATTTGATTATATTATATGTTATATAATTAATACTCATTTCGTTGAAAAATATAAAGCATTTTTAATCGAATCTCACTTTCAATAAAGCAGTTACCTGTTTTCAAACTAACATTATCATTTTATATTTATCCCTATCAAACATCCTATAATAAATATAAAATCATTATCAATAGAGATTTTTTTTAAAAAAAGGCAAGATTACACCTCAAAAGATATTTTTGAATATCTAACTCTTCAAAAAATACTTTACATTTTCTAATAAAAAGAGTATATAAGATTAATTTTAATCATAATTGAAAAGAAAAATTAAAAAGTAGTATTAAAAATGAGTTAAAACCATAATTTTATAAAAATATATTCAAACACCCTCTTTACATGTGAAAATAAATTATGAATTCAAAACAATGTTTTTCTAAAAATATCTTAAAACTCATTGTACATGCTAAAATTAATTATAAACCTAAAATCATATTTTTCCTAAAAATATCTAAACATCCATTATATATGATAAAATTAATTATAAATCCCAAATCATGATTTTTTTGAAAAAAATATTCAAACATCCTTGTACATGCCAAAGTCAATCATCAACTCAAAATTACAATTATCTCATAAGCTACTATTACCTATTTTTTAATTTAATTTTTCAATTATATATTTTATAAAACTATAATTTTGACCTCTAAAATTGATTTCAAATGTTACCCAAATAGGCACTGTGTTGTTTTTCTTCATTTTAACAAAGGATAAAATGGTAATTTTACTTAGGTTAAAGCAAAAATAAAATTCCTCTTTCATACTATGAAGGTTTGAACTCAAAACTCAATAGATAAACAATCAATTCAAACTCCACTAGGCTATCAATTTTTCATAACAAGTTAAATTTTTAATTTTTACCAAAATTTTTGGGTTATTTGAAATTATGTCTATTCTTGCATTTGTGCAAGTTCCTTTCTTTTCTTTCTTTGTTTTTTGATTCATTGTCACAAAAAGGTGCAAAATAATTTCAAAACAAGTTTTGCAGGATTTTCAAATTTTACTACAAATTAATCCACTCTATCATGATACTTAAGATTAATGTCAATCACTAATCATTATCATGGTAGAAAAGCTTAGCCATATTAAAGAAAACTATAAACATAATAGAAAAAAAGGACTTAGATTTAAAAGGTTTATTATGGTTAAGGGAGTTTAACTTATACTTTTGGAAAACCAAGAAAATAACCACATCATCATAAAAATGAGAACTAGTTTACAATCTACTATGATAGAAAGGTTTGAGCTAGGTTTTTAAGATTAAAATCTCAAAATAATATGATACCATGATAAAAAGTCTACCATGTTAATAAATGAATTGAGTAAATCAATTGAGGCAAGGTGACTCCATCTCACCATATCCTTTTGTCATATGTATTGAAAAACTTGCACATCTTATTCAACAAAAAATAGAAGACAGTGAGTAGAAGCCCATTAAACTTGGTAAGTTTGGGCTATCTATATCACATTTGTTTTTTGCTGATGATATTTTATTGTTCACAGAAGCCTCCTTATCACAAGCAAATATCATTAAATAATGTCTAGCAAATTTTTGTGAGAGCTCTGGCATGAAGGTGAACTTAAGGAAAACTAGGATGTATTTCTCTGCTAATGTGCATAATACATGTCATGAGGGGATTAGCAATTTTCTGGGCTTTACTAGAACTGATGATCTTGGAAAATGGCTTGAAGTTCCCTTCCATAACAAGAGAGTTGACAAGGACTCTTTTAATGAAGTGGTGGACAAAGTGTGAAAACGACTCTCAAACTAGAAGGCATCTACCCTGTCGATGGCTGGAAGAGTCACATTAGTGTCCTTTATTTCCACCGCGATACTCGGTTACACATTGCAAACCTCACTCCTATCGGTTAGCACGTGTGAAAAGTTGGATAAATTAAAGCATGTGAAAGTAAAAAGCATAGTGGCCTGGGGATGAGACATACACGTATGCAGAATCAAGCCTACATGATGAAACTTGGGTGGAACCTTGTTAAGAAAAAAGATGAGCTATAGGCATAAGTAGTTAAAGCTAAGTACAATTTTTGGGAGGATGTGATACCAAAAATACAAAAAAGCTCTCGAGATCCAATGTTTGGCAGGGGATCAAAGGGTTTGGGACAAAGTGAAGGAAGGTGTGGAGCAAATGGGAAACCCATAGGATTACAAATGGAAGTAGGAAGCAAATGGCCAGTTTTCAATTTGGTTAGCATACAACGTTTTGCTCACACCAAAGCAGAACTCTGACTTTCCTTGGAATAATGTTTGGCAACTTTGGGCACCACAAAGATGCAGATCTTTTGCTTGGCTTACTTGCCATAGTAAGTTATTAACTAATGTGGAAAGATATAGGAGGCATATGACTATAGATGCAAATTTCTCTTAGTGTGAATCACATGCTATGGATCTTCTACATGTTTTACGAGACTGCCCTGCCACTACAGAATTCTAGAGTTCTATAGTAAACCTAGACAAGAGATATGTTTTCTTCTCTATAGATCTAAAAGATGACTGAATTGGAATCTTAGGTTTAGTGGAAAGGAAGATTGTGATGATTGGAAAGGTTTTTTCTTTATCACTTGCTAGTTATTATGGAAATGAAAAAATCTTCACGTGTTTAAAGGTAAACAAATGACCAATGACAGCATCTTAGCGCAAGCTATGGCTATTCAGACGAGTATGAATGGGACTCTTTCTAACATGGCTAAACTCAATTGGTATGGGTAGAAACCTTATTGAAGCTCAAGCAAATGGGAAGCACCACCAGAAGGATGGACTTTAGTCAATGTTGATAGTTCCTACCTTTCTAGGAATAACAAAAGGGGATGTAGAGGAATGGCTTGAGATTACTGGGGCAATTTTATTATTGGCTTCATGGTTGGAGCTATTGGTTCGAGTAGCTTGAGTGTAGAACTATGGGCTATAGTCATGGGACTTACGGTTGCTTAGGACATAGGAGCCCATCAAGTTATCGTTACTTCAGATGCATTAGAAGCTATTGAGCTCATAGATGGGGGCGAAATCGAGTTACACCAAGATAAGGGAATCATTGAAGAAATTCATTCTCTCATGCAACGAGAGTAGGCAACATCTATTACACATACGGCAAGGATAGCGAATAAGGTTGTTGACTTTTTGGCATGTAAAGTGGTGCATGCATGGCCAGGCATTCATCAGTTTCTTGATCCTCACGAGGTTACTCCTTTCATTGAATAGGACTTTACGGGCTTGAGTAGCAACTAAGCTGCTTCACTAATGTATCAAAAAAAATGGTTTTCAAATAAACAATTCAAGGAAAACCAATCTTCAAAAATGAAATCCTAAATTTATAACTCTAGTTGAGCTTCAGATAAGCCAAAAACCTTTAAATCAAAGTCTAAAATGTGTTTTGAAAGCATAGAAAACAAATTAGATTTAAGGAAACTTAAACCAAGTTCAAAAGACTCAAAATAACTCAATGGGACACATCAGTTGTAGCCAATCATGCACTTGCTGCAATTGATGACATAAAGAATCACTTTTGAGCTTTTTTGACAATACATTGCAATGAATAACACAAAATTCATGCCAACAACTTGCATTCATGGCAAACTTTTTAGCATGGTGTGCACAACTTTTTTCTCTCAATATTTGATTGAGATGATTCAAGCGTTTGTATAAAACTTATTTCAAATTCTAGCTATTAACTTTGATTTCACTCCAAAATAAATACCATATGAGAAATTTGGACATCCAAGATTATTTTAACTACTTTTTAATATTTGTCCACAAACTTAAGTGTTTAAATTCTCAATCCCACAATAATTGCTATTAACCTGCATCAAACCAATGGACCTAAGGAAACCTAATCCACACATCATGCACAATTAAATATAATGACCCTAATTTTTTTAATTAAATAATTTATCTCATAATCAATATTTTAATTATTTAATTTAGTTTTATAGGAAATGGAGAGAGAGGTGATTTAGTAGAACTTGTGCTGGTTGTTTACTTGAAAGTTCAGGGTACAAAATTTTTTTAAGCAGTTAATTTTATTTTGTTTTAATTATATAAAATTACCAAAATGCCCTTTTCTTTTTTGTTATTACAGAAAAAATTTGGGAACTTTATTTGTAATTTTCCAACTATTCATCAGGGTGAGATTTTTCTCCGTTTCTGCCAAGAGAACCACCTGCCAAAACCATCGAATCCATCCTCCTTCCTTAACTGTTTCGACGGCCGCCAGTGAGAGTTGGCCGAGTTCCGGTGCTGCTATGGTGTCTTCTTCTTGGCCGTGATTTCTCGTTCTTCCCCCATTCTGTGATCGCGTGAACCTGCTGTTGCAGAGGTTTGGGTTGCGAGTTAGTGGTTCCTTGTGTTGGCGTCGGACGTTCACTAATTCCGCTTCTCGACGTCGAGGGTCCTTCCTTCTCCACGTCCGATCTGCAACTTCCTCTTCATGCTTCTGCCTTCGTGATGTGAGGTGAGGGTTCTCGATTCCCTCCTCCTTGTTGGTTCTGTTCGTTGGTGGGTGTGGGTCTTATATGTTGGTGTTATAGTTCTCCTTCTTGTGCCATGGTTGTCCGTGTTTGTGTAGGGAGTAGGAGTTGAGTCATGTTGAAAATTTCTGTATTAAAAGCTTAGTGATGATAATATGGTTTTGAAATTTTTTCCTTGAGTTGAAATTAATTCTTGATGAGGAATTTGATTGAGTTCAATTGTGGATGTTTGAGAATTTATTGGGCAAGAGATTATAAGTTAAAAAGCCTTATTGAGTAGGCTGGGAAATTATGCATACTAGGTGTTTGATATAATGTCTAAGAGGAAGTTATATCCTTGTGTAATAGTTAATTATGGTTAAAGCATCATGGAGAAACTTTGTGACAGATATTCTTCCACAAGTTAGTATCCCACTTTTTAAATTGGAAGTAGCAACATTCACCAGTCAAATGCTGAAAAATAAAATAAAATAATAAAATAAACAATGTCTTATTTATTTTAGTATCTAGGCTTGATATCCAACTTTCTCCATCAATAATGGTGGCTTTCAAATTGTTTTTGTTGCTTTCGTGATAACATGGTTTCTAATATGTTATTTTACTGTGTTGTTGGGTTCATATTTGAGGAGGATGATAGTGGATTTAAATTTCCTTTAGGCTTACTTGATTCTTGGTGAGGGTGTTGTAGTTGAAAAGCATGATGGATCTAATCATGGTGAAGAGTTAAAAAAATGAGGAAATTTAGTTTTGTATGTTTGAGAAGAGTTGGAAGTTTAAACGTGATTATTGTATTGGTTGGGAATGGAATTAGAGAATTTGGGGGGAAAAGTTATTTGGTTAGTAATTTCTAGATCAAATTGTTTGTTTTTATGATAACTTTTGCGACACATATATAATGACTGATGAAAGATTTGAGAATCTTGCCTTGTTTTCTCTAACAAACTGAATTGTAAGACTTTGAGAATTTGCATGCTTGCAGTTGGGGTTGTACTTGATCATTTCTCTGCTTTAATTTGTGCTTCTGATACTTGATGTTGTTACTTTACTTCAATCTCAAAGTTTACGATTCATATTCACTTATTTTGGGTATCTTTCTTTTGAATGATGCATTGCCTATGATTTGGTTTAAAATCTTAAGTAAATGATTGTGTAACAGGGTATTCTAGTTGGATATTATGTTGCAATGTAAGACATATTTACTTAAGTAAATGATTGTGTAAGACATATTGCATCTTTAGAAGCTGGAAGAGTTTATGTAGGCAGTATAATTTCTTGGCTTGCCTGGGCATGAGGTTAGAGTGGGTTGATACTCATTCAAAAGGTAATGGATACAGGAATTTTGGCTGCCACTGCCAACAGCTGTGGCCTTTAATCTTAAGCACATCTTTTGGCTCAAACTTTTACATGTTCCAAGAATGTAACATTATCATGCTTTAATTAGCTAAGCTGATATTATGAAAAGATCTGATTGGTTTTGCATATTCATAAAAGAATCGTGTTTTAATATGCTTTACAAGGATCTAATTTCTATTGGTTTCATGTAGCCTGAAGCTGCGAGAGTTGCTGTGATCTGATTCCAACACCAGTTTCAGAGAGATACATAACAAGCAGATGGTAAGCTTTTTGCATATCCAAAATGACCTTTTTCAGTTCCTACTTACATTTTCTATTTAAATTGCTGTGGCTTGCGTCTGAATGACCATTTTACTTGTTTTTCTTTTTCATCCAGTTAAAATTAGCTTGTGGAAGCTATTACTTCTAGTCTTATTGCAGTAGTGGTGAAGGGAAGCAACTCTTTGAGATTCCCATTCTTTAAACTAATATATCTATATGTCTGTTCTGGTTTTAGGAAAAAGATTGATATCTGCATCTTTTATTTCTTTCCTATAAAAATTTGGATCCGCAGTAAGTATCCACGAGCTAGGAATGCGTTAACAAATTAGTTTCTATTGCACAATGCTGAAACGGATTATATGTTACCCTCAACATCAATCTCCCCTTGACATCCTTAAATCCTTATCTCCTCTCTTTCCCAGTATGATTTCTTCTTTTGTAAAATAAAAAATATTTAAATATTCATTTTACTTATCTTCATATCTGCAAAATTTGCAAACACAGGAATGTGATAGAAAGCTGAAGACGTGTGCAGAAAAGCTTAGAATTTAAACCATTTTAAAATGAGATATCTAGGTTAAATTTCTAAATATTACCAAGTCATGTCTGTATATTTACAAATAATTGTTCTTATATTAACAACAAGGCGCCCATAATTAACAAAAGTCCATGGAAATGCCTGGAAAATAAAGTTATAACATATATGCTTTTCATTTAGCATAATATTGATAACTTGTCAATATTGAAGTAACAACAACAACAACAACAACAACAACAACAACAACAAAACAAGCCTTTATCCCACTAGGTGGGGTCGGCTACATGGATTGCAAGACGCCATTGTGCTCTATCATTTATCAAGCTTTTAGGAATATTATTAATTAAGAGATCGCGTTCAATAACTTCCAAGAGTGTTCTCTTAGGCCTTCCTCTACCTCTCTTAATCGGACTCAAAGCAATATTGAAGTAACAAGTTGTAAAAAAATAAACAAGTTGGATTGTATACATTGATAATTTTTTTATGTATTAACAAGGCATGTTCAAATATTTACAAGTGATTGTTTAGATATTAACATCAACGCATCCACAATTAACAGCAACTTGCATAAATCCTTGAAAACAAAAGTTATAATATATATTATATTTTTAAAATATGATTTAATGGCTTTGGTGGTTTAGTGGTGGCATACTTTTGAACAACCGAGGGGTCAAGGCTTCAAATCCCCCTTGGTCCCTTGGCACATTTGACCAGATTTGACCACCAGTGGCTGGGGCGGTGGAGGTCCGGTGTAATTTTGACCCTAATTTCTTTCTTTCTTTTTTTAAAGGTATCGTTTGGTTGTCATGAGTACTCTGTAAAATGTGGGAAATTAGAAGTTGGATTAACCAAAGATTGAAGAGAAACAAAACTGTCCCACATAGTTGTTCCTTTCCCAGTGAATCTCTGGAATTTGAAAACTAGTCTCCTTCTGTTTGGTGGGAATGGCCACTTCTGCTGGTCTTTGATGATCCGCTCTGGCATGAGTACGGTGAGCTCCTCAATAATAATAATCTTGATTTTTTTTTTCATTTGCTGCTTTTCTGGTTCTGTGTGTTCGTCTTTCGATTCTTGGCATTCTTCTTACTTTTCCTGCTTGTGTTTCTTCAATAGTTGAATTGAGGAAGCCTATCTCCTACTGTCTTTATTTTGTATTGTTGCAGTACTTTTTTTTCCCCCTTAATGTTGAATGCTCCTTTTCTGAACATGTAATTTCGTTTGCATTTTGTTTTGTTTGGGTCTATATTCTCCCCCTGTTTTTCCTAAAGCAATGGATTCTGCCCTTGTAATCCGAAAGTTTGAAAAACAGATGCAACGCAAGAAACATTATAGGATTATTAGTACACAGGACGTTGTACATAGCTTCTTGCAGGATTTAGAAAGAGCATATAGGGGACTTCTCAATTAGAGGTGCTAGGGTATTGGTTTTGGCTTAGGATTTTGGGTAATTGCTTTAGAGGGGCTTCTGAAGGTTCAAATGCCCTGAAAAATTTTAATAATTTTTTATACAGTCAATTAATGCATGCTCTTGCTCACATATATGTATACATACATGGTTGGATTTTTCTCATTTTCTATACCTTTATCTCAGTGTGTTTCTTAAATCAAATTGTTAGTGCTTTTGGCTTTGGAGGAACCCTTATAATCTTATGATTTTGTACAGACCTCAAATAATTGTTCTGATTTCATCTCTTTCCTATTTTCCTGCCTATTTGCATCTTTTTATACCTTATCTGAAGTTACATAGCACTTAATAATTATTTTAAACATGTCAAATAGTCAAATTTTGGTTTCTAAATTCTTTGATTTTGCTGAGTACCCAAGTGGTTTGATTTAGTGAAGTCAAAGTTATTGATGAAACCAAACCTTTGTAATTGCTTTGTCAATGCTTTATCATTCTGATGACCTGACTATGCTCATTGTTGAATACAGGCAGCATTTTGTTTAGGCCATGTGCCAAGTGGTTTGGTTTAGACCATGTTTTCTTTAGCCCTAGTAGGTTCAAGAATAGTCCATAAGTTTTCATATAGTTTGGCTATATCTCGCAAGCTATGTGACCAGCCATTTCATGGTGACCATGTTGAAAATGGATTTGAATTTTATGAGGAGCCTTTGAGAAGAATGTGGGATCAATCAGATTATGATGTCATTAGAAATGAAGGTCATAGTTCACTTGAGGATGAGAACTATAACCAGAAACATTTTTCACTTAGACAGGGATTCTTAGAAAGCGTGAAGATAGATGCTGAGCGGGTTTTTGAAGTTCTTCGACAGGATGGACCGGGAGTTGATTCCAGATTGGTTTTAAATGAGTTGGATGTAAGGCCATCTGGTCTTCTTGTGAGACAAGTTCTCTCTGATATTTTGAAGAACATAAATTGTGAAAATAAGACTAGGTGTGCAAAATTGGCTTATAAATTTTTTGTTTGGTGCAGTCAGCAGCAGAGTTACCAGCATACTACTGACTCCTATCACTTAATAATGAAGATATTTGCAGAGAGTGAAGAGTTTAAAGCAATGTGGAGGCTAGTAGATGAGATGAATGAGAAAGGAATCCCTGCTACTGCACGAACTTTTCGCATTTTGATTTGTACTTGTGGTGAGCTAGGTTTTGCTAAGAAAGTGGTGGAGAGATTCCTAAAATCAAACATGTTTCACTATAGGCCCTTTAAGCACTCCTACAATGCAATCCTCCATTGTCTTCTCAATCTAAAGCAATACAAGTTAATTGAGTGGGTTCATCAGCAGATGTTGCTTGAGGGTCTTCCCTCAGATATTTTAACTTATAATATTGTCATGTATGCCAAGTACAGGCTTGGGAAGCTGGATCAGTTGCATAGATTGCTTGATGAAATGGGCAGAAATGGTTTTTCTCCAGATTTTTATACTTATAACATTCTTCTTCACGTTCTTGGCAAAGGAGACAAACCACTTGCAGCTCTTAATCTCTTAAATCACATGACAGAAATGGGTATAGAGCCAACTGTTCTTCATTTCACCACATTGATAGATGGACTCAGCAGAGCTGGGAATGTTGATGCTTGCAAATATTTTTTCGATGAAATGATAAAGAATGGATGTATGCCTGATGTGGTGGCTTACACAGTGATGATCACAGGATATGTGGTGGCTGGTGAGATTGAGAAAGCTCAAGGAATGTTTCATGAGATGATTTCTAAAGAACAAATCCCAAATGTTTTCACATACAATTCCATGATTCATGGATTGTGTGTGGCAGGGAAGTTTGATGAAGCATGTTCAATGCTCATAGAAATGGAGGCTAAAGGTTGTAATCCAAATTTTGTTGTGTACAGCTCCTTATTGAGTAGTTTGAGGAAAGCTAAAAAACATGCTGAAGCTCATGATGTAATGGAACGGATGATGGAAAAGGGAAAGTATGCCCATCTACTTTCAAGGTTCAATGGGCACAAGAGATAGCCAGAAATAGATGCTCTGATTGGAGATGACTTAAGGGAATCAACTTACAAGTCTTTTTAATTGAGATGATTCACCTGCTTCTTTTTCAGCTGGTGTAGAAGTTGGGGGAACTAAGCATGTGATTTCCCTCTGCATTTGCGAAGATGCTTATTTATAAAAGTGAAGGTGCATGAAATGCCTTTTACCTACATTGTGTAAGGTGTAATAGTGATTCTTTTGTTGGTCCTCTTCATTTTTCCACTACTAATGACCTTCATATGTGTTTGTGGTGTATACTTAAGTAATATGAAACTTGAATTCTCATTGGAGCTTTGTGTAGAAGGTGATTACTTTTCTTTTTCCTTGACTAGGGTTAACTGGATATAGCATTAATTATCTTCCAGAAAAATGATGGAGGTCAGCTAGTTAATTTGGTGTTCTGGATGCTCTTCAGCTTTTGGAATGAATAGATGACTACCTATCCCGAACAAAAGTTCTTGATTAGATACGGAGGAATATCATCTAGCTGCTTGTCTGAAGTATGCAAATTGTTGGTTGTACAATTAGTAACTTTACAGTTGTTCTCTTTATCACTTTATTAGTCTCTGTGATGTGATACATAACATGTGAGTTTTCCTTCATATAATTTAAAGAACGAAGGGAAAATCGCACAGAAGGACTGCTGAAGCATGTTATTTGCAGACAAGGACCAATTAATTATGAATTAGCACTGCAGTGTTACTTAAGAAGCATCATGGAGTTTACTGCAGAATCTCAAATACTTCAAAATGGTAATTGAACATATGTTTGGTTATTACCTATAAAAATAATATTATTATGTTACTTAAGAAAGTTGTTGGAACCTTCCAAGTGGCATTTGATATCTTAGTTTATGCTCGATTATTTAAAATTCAACCTCTTAGTAGTTGAAAAATTATAAGGTTCACTTACAGAATGCTACATTTACTAAATGCACGTTTTTTCCTAAATATTGGGTGTTTTTTTTGTGAAGGGAAAGTCCACAGCTTTTTGGCTTTCTGCTGCATTCTTAATCTGCTGTTGTGTGAAAATACTAAAGTAGAAGAAGCGAAAGAACTTTCCTTGACAATATATTCGGCATTAACTTATCCCATTGTAAGATTGGTTTTGCTGCAAAGGCTCTGCATAAATGAATCAGACTATTAGAGAATGATCTTGACCCAAGAAGAGAATTTGCTTCTATTGATTCAGTAAAATGAGAATTAGACTTATCCACTTTTGTTATTGTCTCACTTCTTTTGTTGTCTGTTTTTAGGAGGAAGTTTTCTTGAGCAGGTAATGCCTGGCTTGCTACTGGGGTCTTGCCATAAATATGGTAATGAACTTTTTAGTACTGATGCATCCTCTTGTCTGCTTTGGAACAATTTAAATTTAAATTTAAATCAAGTGTTCACTTTTTTAATCTAGGATTGTTCATTTACAAGATCTTCATGATTTGATTATCAATGTTTGGCTGAATTGCTTATGTTGTTTGATATTAAAGTGCTTTTAATTGATGATTTAATGGTCCATACAGGATTGAAGTTGTTCTGACTTCAATAAAATGTAATAATTTATGTTTTAAAGAAACTATTATTATATCTTTAACTTATTCTTAATGTCATTTTTTTAAGAATAAAGGTACAATTCTCCAGGCTTGAGCTCCTAAGTTGGGAGCTCATTCTTCAAATTAGCTCCTCATGATTTCGCTTTCCTATAGATTGTATCTTAGTTAGACCTTATAATTTGAAATGCATTGGCTTGGACTCTGCATCAATTTATTTAGTGCAAGTTTTTGTTTTTGGCTTGAGGGCTGACCTTACCTTGTCACTTTTCAAATCTTTGTTTCAGTCCCAAAGCCAGCTTTCACGTAGCCACTTAATGGTATAACCAGGTTTCCTACCCTCTCATGGCTTGATTAGTTACCTCTAATTGTCCAGAGCTTTTGTTGACTTGCAACGCACTGTATCTTGGAGGTTTTGCTTTGAGAGTTGAAAGAAGATATTATTTGGTTACGTAATTATGCTAAAAAATTTGTTTCAGGGAGCTATAACAAAGTGCTTAATTTTCTCATAGGTTCGATGTACAAGGTTTACCAGTTTAATATATGCATTCATATGATGGTAGCTTACAACCTCAAAACATAAGGGTTGATTGCTACACATATATCCTGTTTTCACAATAAAATATAATTAAGTCATATGTTGTATTGTTGGTTCAAGCACAATTTAAATTGTTAGCATTGATCCGTTTGCTTCACCAGTCGAAAGTCATTAAAACAATGGAAGCAAGTGTCTCAAATGAATTAAATGGTATTAGAAACATTAGAAGCATATATTAATTGAGTCATGTGGTTTCATTTAGTATGATATGGAAGAAATTTCAGGATTGTAAATTCATGCATGTTTTTTATTAGTGAGATGAGGGGTTTCCTTGATCATATATATATTTTTTTATTGCATCTTAACCTGAAAATTTTCATTGCAGATTTTAATAATTATCATGAACTTTGTGTTTTCCATCACAATTATCCTAAGAATTTTGGTTTGCAAGTGCACATAGTGTTTATTAAGTTCTGAAGTTCTTTAGGCATTATTAATCAGTAGTGTGCTTGGACTTGATAGCAACTTTCTTAACATTATATTGTGTTTATAGTATTTAAATGTATTCTTCTGTTTGTGTCTTATTTCTATATGCCTCCTTGTCTCATACAGTCCTTTTGTTTGATCACCTTTGTTCGTGAGCGGTGACAAAATTAACTAAACTTTTGTTGTCCAATGTGATAATCCAAGAGCATAGGCAAGCTATATTTCATCATCCTAGCATTGATTACCCCGAAATTCATTATAAAGTCAATGACGAACAGAAAGTTCCTAGGAGTTGTAAAGAGTTTGCTTCTACATTTTTCCGGGGAAAGAGTTTCTTAGAAGCAACACCATCACCATGCATAGTTCCTTTTGTTGTCAATCTTGGATCATAATGAGAAGTGTCGTTATTATCAGGAAGGATCTTGTGACATTGATTTGAAGGAACGAAAGTTGACTGTTAAGGAAATGTGTAGCTGGAGGCAATGTTGGCAAGTTGTTTCTGAGCCTTTTGGGATACAAAAATCACCTTCCAAGCCTAGACACTGTTACCTGAATCGTTTTGTTCAAATGCTGTGTATAGTTATTTTGAACAATTATAAGTTGGTCAAATCTGAATAATTGTTCAACTTATATTCTGATGTATGTATTTTTAAGTCACTGTGTGAGAGCTTGGCAAGTTCTTTGTTCAGCACATTAATCGAGTGTTCTCTGCTTTTGTTTGTTTTTGTTTTTTTTGTTTTTAACTTATTCACACTATCAATTTTTTTTTTTGGATATTGTTTTCTTTTCCTTCAATTTGCAGGGTGACTTGAATTGTCAATTACCAATAAAATAATCTTGCATTTGACCTTATTTTTTTTTAGAGGTAAGCACAAATTTTTAAATTTCAAAGACAACTAACTAAATTATTTAGTGTGTAAATTCAGTTAAAACTGTCTTATAATGTTGAACGGATTGAGTAATTAACTTTTACCTTTGGATCGTAAAATCAAATATAACACTTAAACAAAACTAATTAAATATGTGATTTTTTTTTTATAATATTTTGTGCTAAGATCAAACATAATTTCTAGACGTTTTAATTGAGGACCTGATTGGGCAGTTTGGGAGAGGATTGTAAGCACCTTTTAGCATGACTCACTACCCCTGTTTTACATCGAATTAGCTTTCGTTTAATTTTTTATAATTTTTTAATAAAAATATATGTGAGCATTTTTTCAAAACCAATTAAATATGTAGGTCCTTTTAAAAATAATTCATAAGTACTCCACTAAATTTTATAAATATTTATATTAAAGATTAAGTAAGATTTTTAAAAATGATGGAAAAAAGGTAAATTGTTTTTTTAGAAATTGTCTTATATTAAATAGTGGAGGATTGTAGTCATGTTTATGCGTCGTTGTGGATATGGAGCTTGGCTACTGCAAGGTCTAAAACTTTTGTTTTTTCAAATGAGAATAAACCCTATTTGACCAGCAATTGTAATGTAATTGTTGGGAGTTGTCAGTGTTCATTTTACAATTTTACTCTTCATTTTATATATAAATATTTACATAAAAACGAGCATCCTTTGTTGTAATTTAAACATCAAAATTGCTTATGAAAAATCATTCAAACATTCACAATTTATCAAAATCAATTTCAAAAAATATTTTCTAAAAACACCACCACATTATCTTAATCAATTTTTTCTAATTGAAATCCAAACACACCTTATATCATGTGGTATAACTGATTTATAAAATTGATTAAGAACATCAATTTTAAGCAAAATTGAAAAGTAGAATTGAAAATCAGGTAGAATTTTTACATTCAAACACCTTATAACTATATCTTTTCACCCATAGCATCCGAATTCTCTTGTGTTCACTTTCAATTTTAAGATTCTATACTTGGGTTCGATTATGTCTTGGCTTAGGAACAATATGATTTCTACATTACCAAAAACTATGGGAAATTTTTTTGTTATACTATGAATAGTTTGGAGCAAATCAGTGACCTCTGGTTACAAGTTTTCATATTGGATTGTTCTGCTATAAACCATGTTCAGCATGTTCACTTATCAAATGGGTAGACACTAAATGCTCATGAGATGATTTTTGAGAATGTTGGATAAACATGCTCACTCAATTTAAATGATGGCAATGACGAACCAACATGCCAGTGAGTGTAGGCACTTGCCCCACTCACTTCTAAAAAAATTACCTGCAAGACATGCAAAAATTTACCTTTTCTAACTATTAATTTTAACATTTTGATTTTACTGAGTTTAAATTCTAATAATCCCCTCCTAACATAAGGTCTTGAATTTACCATTGGATGTTAGTCATGTCTCTCACTTTGTGGCCATCACTTAAAGTACGGTTAACTTAGATTGTTTTTAGATTCACCAAGTCTTCTTACTTTTTATTTTGCCTTTGGTAAATTTTCAAGTCATACAAATTTTTTCTCTAACATCCGATGTGCTACTCAGTCTTGAAGCTTAAGTGGTGGAGGTAAAAAAAATGCTTGGAATTGGGCTTTGTTAATGCAAATGTCTCACATATCATATATATTCCTTCTTTCTTGTTCATTGTCACAATGTAAGGTCCAAAATAATTCTATTTTGAGTTCTGTATTGGGTCTTAGGTATTGTATTTTCATTCTATTTTCTTTAGCTTTTTCTTGTTAGCCGCTTGAGCTTGACACTAGTAATCTAGTATGCTTAGGCTTTGTTATGTTATTGTTTTTCCTAGTTAATAATTTAAATATATGAAATAAAACTTCAATCCTTACTATCTTGTTAGTTTCTAAGTCAACTTTGCCATGAAAATTTACCATGCGTCGTATATTACTCTAGGCAGTACCTATTTTGGATGTAAGCAGGATAGTAAAAATTTTTAGTCCTCAAACATTGCTTCAATATAATTTGATTCATCAAGTTTAATTTTTATTAATTTTAGCATTTTATGATTTCTTAAATTATCATGTTAATGTTTTAAATTTTAAATTATATATTAACCTTCAAATTAATCTGATATATAAAGTATATTGATAATTGACGTGCATATATATTTATATGAGAACATGTTAGTTTCAACAAGTTATCTTATTCTTCTTTTTTTCCTTATTTGATAACTAAATAATATTTGTAAACTAGGGAAAATAAGGAAATTCAGATGACCTATGAAAGCTAATTGGTTTTCATTTAGGTATAGATTTATATCAAGTCCTCTACATACTTACATATAAGATTAAGTTAAGGGTAATTTGTATTTCAAAACTAAAAGACTAAATCGATAATTAAGAAAAATTAAAGGATCAAAATTTTTTATGAAAAAATTAGGAATAGGTCTTGTGTATGAAGCTTATTTATAAATAAGTCCATAAAAATTTAAAAACTATAGCAAGTTTTTCAAGATTTGAGTGTTATTTGAGGTTAGGCTATAAAGAGATATTGTTATTCACTTACAATTAAACTTCATAATTTACAAATAAAATTCCTAATTTACTAATCAAAGTTTGCTATATAAGATGGAGTCTTCATAGAGTTAGTTTGCCTTACATTCTAATTAGACCAGTTATAGCATCAAGTAGACATAATTCAATGGAGACTCCATGTTATATCAAGCATTCAATGTGAAATGTAACTTGTGAATTATAGATTTTTACTTATAAATTGTGAAGTTACAATTGTAAGTAAAAATCAAATTAACTGTTAAAAAGCTTTATTAATTAAGTTTAACTTTAAACAACTTGTAGGCTAATACATTATATTATATATATATGGAAATCCCAAATGAGTTATATTACTTTATTTAATGCCAATTGGACGTTGTGAATTACAAATTTTTATTTGTAAATTTTAAAGTTGTACTTGTAAGTGAAAGCCAAATTAATAGGGTTAATATTGTCATTGCAACTTAACCACAATTATATTCAAGTCTTAAGGGACTTGGCACTAGTTTTTGAATTTTGCAAGATTTTTTTTATAAATAAGTCTGTTATATGAGACCTATTCATAATTTCTTTTTTATTACCTCCAGTAAAGTTAAACTTGACATTGACAATTACTTTTATGAAAAGAGAATTGCATATGTCTTATAGAGCAGATTTATTTACAAATAATTATGCAAAATTCATAAACTACAACTACCCTTATATTTAAGTGTAATTTAAAATTAGGGTAAGGAGATAATAATGCTCCTATTAAACATTTATCTATTACACCAGTCAAATAACTTACAATTATAATTTTAACATTTACAAATGTAACTTTATATATTCAATAATTAAATTAATTAGCTTATCTTTTGAATATTAAGTTACAATCA